AAATGCCGAGGGTATCCGTCATACCCAGCTCTGGTAAGCCTCTGCTTCCCTTTCCATGCCCAGACTTTCCCTTCTCCCTGCTGAGCTGTGGAACAGGGTTCCTTAGCAGATTGGTAAGATAGGTACAGCTTGAGTACTCCATAGAGGTTCCTTAGTCAGGTTCCTCATCTCTCCTTTTCCCTTCTCGTGTCCCTTTGGGCTCTGAAATAATTCAGCACAGGAAGCAACCAAAAATCAACATTGCAACCCTAATAGCATAACTTTTTTCTCTCCCCACTTCAGATATAGTCTCCTAATTCTTGGATAGGGCAAGCTTTGGGGAGAAAATGAAGTGAATAAAATGGGCTTATATTACATCCTCAGATCATTGATCCAAAGATGCCCCGAGAAGGTATGTTCCACCATGGGGTTCCCATCCCTGTGCCCCCACTGGAGGTGCTGAAACTTGGGGAGCAGATGACCCAGGAAGCCCGAGAGCATCTCTACCTCGTTCTCTTCTTTGATAACAAACGAACCTGGTAAGGAAGGAGGGGTGTATTTGGTGTGAGTCATAACCACAGTTGCAAACCCTGTGTGGTGTAGGGGCCGACTGCCAGGAAACTCAAGCAACAGACAGACTGGGCTATTATAGATCACTGGAGGAGGAACTTTAGAACACATCTTTTAACAAAGAGATTTTGTTGGCCATGAGTCTTAACAGGCCTGAGTGAACAGTAAGTGACAAACAGCCGTTGTTAGAAACCAAAAGACCATCGGTGATTCTAACAAATACGGGGGTGGCTCCCCACCCAGACTCAGATGGCTTCTTGACTTATTTTTCTCACCTCTTCCTCCATGGTGACAAGATGAGGATAAAGCAGGCATAAACATTTAAGCTCTAAATCCCTGTTCTGTCAAACTCACATGTACTCTTCGTTAATTGCCTGCAGATGATACTCAGTGTCAGTGAATTTTGCTTGGAGCCTCTGGGACAGGATACCTATTTCTAATTAAGTCAGGACTCCTCCTTTTGCACCTATAAATACCCTGTGGTTATCCCCCCCTAGTGTACTGTTTTGTTTTGTTTTTGGTAGTACTGGGATTTGAACTCGGGGCCTATACCTTGAGTCACTCCATCAGCCCTTTTCTGTGACTTTTTTCTAGATAGAGTCTCAAAAACTATTTGCCTGGACTGGCTTCAAACCGCTATCCTCCCTCTTGAGTATCTAGTGAGGTTTTTTGTTTGTTTGGGTTTTGGCGGCACTGGGGTTTGAATTCAGGGTTCTTGTTAGGCAGGCACTTTTTACCCCTTAAGCCATTCTGCCAGTCCTCCCCCTAGTGTAACTGTTGACCAGGCGCTGTTCATCACCGTGAACAGTTCCTTGACAGCAGGGACCCAATCTTTTTTTTGGCTTAGTTTTGTTTGTAGGGACTCAGGGCTAGAGCTTGCTAACCAAGTCAGTGCCTCTACCTCTTTAACCACATCCCCAGTCCATTTTTTTTGCTTTAGGTTTTTTTTTTTTTGGTGGCACTGGGGTTTGAACTCAAGGCTTTATGCTTTATTTTATTTTATTTTTTTTTTAAGATAGGGTCTTGCAGTTTTCCTAGGGTCGGCCTTGAACTGCAATCCTCTTACCTATACCTCCTTTGTAGCAAGGATTATAGGCATGTACCATTATTCCTGGCTTGTTTTGTTGAAATGGGTTAGTGCTAACTTTTTGTCCAGGTTGTCTTCAAACCACATTCCTCCCTATTTGCATCTCCAAGTAGCTGAGACTACATTTTTTTTTTCTTCCATCAGTACTGAGGTTTGAATTCAGGGCCTCATGCTTGCTAGGCAGGCACTCTACCGTTTGAACCCCACTCTGACATCCCTTTTTTTGTTTTGGATATTTTTGAGATAGACTTTTGCAAAGTATTTGCCCAGGCTGGCTTTGAACCACGATCCTCCTGATCTCTGCCTCCAGAGCAGCTAGGATTACAGGCATGAGCCCCCAGCACCAGATTAGCTGAGACTACAGATGGGTACCACCAAACCTTGCCAGGACTGTGTATCTTGGGCTTTGTAACCCTAGTGCTCAATAGAGTCCAGCCAGTATAGGGATTCAGGAGATGTTCTTCAGTGAATCAAGTGAGGAAGGCTGGTGCTTGTTGTCCTCCCTGAGATGGTTTATTTAATTTTCACCTTGTACTACAGGCAGTGGCTACCCAGGACTAAGCTTGTTCCTCTGGGTGTGAATCAGGATCTGGACAAAGAGAAGATGCTGGAGGGCCGCAAGTCTAACATCCGCAAGTCAGTACAGATCGCTTACCACAGGGCTCTGCAGCATCGCAGCAAGGTGCAGGGTGAGCAGAGCAGTGAGACCAGCGATAGTGACTGATACTGCCCAGCAGAACCCAACCTACAGTGCCCTGTGACCTTTTTTCTTCCCTTTGCTCACTGCCCTGGAGTGGCACCAGTCTCTGCACTGACTCATTCCTGGTCTTGGGGCCAGTCTCAGGGGAAACTGGGTGGGGGAGGTCCCTCCTGCCCTGAGTGCAGCTGGACTGTACAGAACACTCCAAGGGCCCATGGTGACTCAGTTCAAGGAGAAGGGAGGTCCCACAGGTCAGAAAGAGCTCCAGAGACTTCATAGCATTGCAGGGCAAGGTGGCAGGCTAAGGTTAGGACACTAACCACCACCTCTGCCTGCTCATGCCAGGAGAATCTATAACTGCCTAGAGGCCTGAGGCCCCTGCAGGTGGTGAGGTGAGTAGGCATCTACCCAGCTTAGCAGTGGGATTGATGTCTGTTCAGCCCAGAAGAGGGGCACTAGGTGACCCCTCCCCTGCTGTTGTAAGTACTGTAATTATTGGAGAATTTAAATTATTCTCATTTGTAACTGCGTTTCCGGGTCGCGCCAGAGTCATTTGGTACTAAAAAAAAAAAAAAAGAAAAGAAAAAAAAAAAAGACCGGGGCTTGTCCTCACTTCCCTTCTCTTTCCCATAGACTCCCCCTACCTTTCAAACTGGTTTGTATTTATTTCAAAAGAAGAAAATATATTGATTCTTAGAAAATAAAGTCTATTTAGAATTCTTTGTTCTTGCCTTCTGCCAGGGCAAAGGGTTTCCCAGGGAGTTCTGTGCCCCAGGGATGGTATATAATAGGGCCCAAGTGGTTGATGACTGCTGTGTCTGCTAATTATAAGACACAACAGTGAAGATGAAAGCTCCCATTTCCAGTGTACTTACTGAGTTGCTGGTCCTATACTAGGTCTGTACTACCTTTATTTACTTTGGTGATACTGGGGCTTGAGCTCAGGACTTTGCGCTTGCAAGGCAGATGCTTTACAACTTGAGACACACTTCCAGCGCTGTATTAAGTACCGTTATATACGGTTTCATATAATTTGTACATACCTATGAGGTAGGTTAATAGTAGTCTGGTTATCTCCCCAGATACTGAGGTTTAGGAAAATTAACTTGCCTAAGAGTCCCACAGCTAGGAAGTTACAAGAGCAAGAGCGTGAGCTCAGGTCTATTTGTCTGGAAAGATGGTCTTCAACCGGTGTGCTGTACTGCCAGAAGAGTCCACTGCTATTTTTTTTTTGTGGATTTCAGAGGCTTTGAGGTCCTTTGCCAGGACCATGGCTCAAGTACTTAAGTCACTAAAGCCTACCCCACTGCTTAACTGTGCAGGGATGTAGAGGGTTGCTTTCATCCCTCCCCTACCTTGGCAACTTTTCCAATTAAAACGTGTTTTTTTTTTTTTTTGCAGTACTGGGGTTTGAACTCAGGGCCTACACCTTGAGCCACTCAACCAGACCTTTTTCGTGATGGGTTTTTTTTTCAAGATAGGGTCTCAAACTGCCCCGGCTGGCTTCAAACTGTGGTCCTCTTGGTCTCTGCCTCCTGATTAGCTAGGATTACAAGCTTGAGCCCCTGGTGCCTGGCTCAAACACCACTTGCTGTGGGTGGCATGCCACAAGATGAGATGGCCACAATAAGACATGGTTGCCCAAAGCCTTGCACTCACTAAGGAAGGAAATTAAGACAAAACATCCCATTCTTTGATGTTGCCACATGGCATGCCCTGCTGGCTGGCGTGTCCTGCTGTGGATAGGACACACAGGTAAATCAGCTGCAGAGCTAAATCTCTTAGCCACAGCGACTGCTAGAAGCGAAACTCCCCATGATGTGTCCAGTTGACTTCTCCCCGCTGCCTGCTCCACGATTCCTCCACAAAGTTAGAAGTTGCATCCTTTCCGGTTCCGGGTGCCTCAGGGCCACGCATCCGTACCTGACCCAGCTCCGGGAAGCCCACAGGGCCCGGGACTGAAGACGGGCCTCGGAGGTGGCGGGAACTGGCTATGGGGCAACGCCTTAGGGAATATTCCGAAGACTCCCGAGGACGGACACTATCTGTGAAGATCTGAAGAGACGGTGGAGAAAGGCTGAGGACGCGCTGGGGAAGGAAGTGCTTCTGCGGAGATGGCGCAGGAGGATTTGCCCGCCAGAGCGCCCGGCCCACAGAGGCCGGGACACCGTAGCGTGCCGAGTGCAGACAATCCAGCGGGAGGGAGAGCGAGCGCAGCGCACGCCCCACCGCCAGCCCGCCGGGTTCTCCTTAGCACCTCTCACTTCCGCCTCTTAGCTACCTCTAGGTCAAAGCAGCGGCGCCTGAGCTCTACTTCCGGTGACAGCGGGGTCAGCCCCGGAAAAGGGGAAGAGTCGACTCGCGCGCCTCTCAAAGTGCCCGCAGCTTAGGCAGCAGCTTGCGCGCGCGGAGGCTTCTGGGGGGGAGCACTCGTCAGGAAGAAGAGGAGGGACTTGCACTACCCGGAAGCCGAGGGCACAGAGTGGGAGGAGCAAGGCTTTGGCTGCCTGCTGGAGTCTGGCGAATGAAACGGGGAGGGGCCTTCAGCAGGCTAAGAGGCCGAGCCCGACGGGCGGGGCCGCGGGGGCGTGCTCATTATGTAGGCGGGGGCTTTGGGCCCCGAGCGCGCAGGTTCTCAGTGGGCGGGACCATGGTGGGGCGGAGACTGCTGTGCAAATGTTAGCCCGCTGCTTTCTACCTGGGAGCATGAGGCTTCGTACTCTAGCCTCCTGCCCGGCCCTCTTTGCCTCCATCCGGTGTCCACGCTCTGAGCTGCGCCTGGACCTGGTTTTAGCTTCTGGACAGTCCTTCCGGTGAGTGACTGCGCCTGGGGGCCCCTTCCCTGAGGCCCTGGCTTCTGACTCCTCAGTACTGCTCTCCAGGGGTGCAAAGGAATGTTGGGAGTGAGGGATGAGGATGTACCTGTGGTGCATGAAAGTAAGCACTGCTGGAGAGCCTCTTACTTCCTTTATACGGGTACTAAGTGCAGTGTTGTGAGGAAGGTGCAATAAAATAGCTGAAAAATACAATACCACCTTTACTTAGAAAGTCTGTTTTGTGATTGCGGCACTTGTAAGACTGGAAGGGACTCCAAAGGGTGCAGGAAGGGAAACTGTGCTGTCTGCACCTGGGTGCTTAGGTGGAGGGAGCAAAGCCCTGCACACTGGAGTGGCGTGCTGGCGGACCAAGTATGGACACTGACTCAGACTGAAGAGCAGCTCTACTGCACCGTGTACCGAGGTGACAAGGGCTGCGTTGGCAGGCCCACCCCAGAGGAGCTAGAGACCGTACACAAGTACTTCCGGTTGGATGTCAGCCTGGCTCAACTGTATAGCCACTGGGGTTCCGTGGACTCCCATTTCCAAGAGGTGGCTCAGAAATTTCAAGGTGAGTACAAGGCCTGGGGCAGAGGTTGGGATTCTGTCTGTGACTTGGTTTTACCATCTGTAAAATGGAGATTATGTCTACTTCACAGGATTTTAATGAGGATTAAAGGAGCTAATGTAAAATGCGCAGTAAAGTGCTTGACACATTGCGATTAGCTATTGTTATCCTGCTGATCATCATTGTGAAGTGACAAGGATATAAAGCATAATCCTGGCTAGGTGACCTGGAGTAGGTGACCTCATTCATCCTGTAAATACATACAGGGCATCTGCTATGTGACTGGGAATATAGCCAGGAACAAAATGGATACAAATCCCTGTCCTCATGATGCTGTTCATACATTGTGCCTTCATCAGTGGAATAGGGTGGTAACCCAGACTTCACAGGACGCTATGAGGGATGAGATGTCTGGTGTTGCTTTCCCTACGATTGCTGTTCCTCATTTTTCTGGAGTCTTGGAAACTAAGATCTGATGCATAAGTAGGAAAAAGCCCCTCCTAACAGCAGGTGCTTCTAACCCCTGCCTTTCTGGTCTCCAGGTGTGCGACTTCTGCGACAGGACCCCACCGAATGCCTTTTCTCCTTCATCTGTTCCTCCAATAACAACATTGCCCGCATCACTGGCATGGTGGAACGGCTGTGCCAGGCCTTCGGACCTCGGCTCATCCAGCTTGATGATGTAGCCTATCACGGTTTCCCCAGCCTGCAGACCCTGGCTGGTGAGTAATGCATCTTTCCCAAGCCTTCCATAAGTCTTTGAACAGGGAAATCTATTTGACTCTCCCCTTGTCACCATTTCCCGTTTCAAAGCTTCCCGTCTTACCAAAAACTGGCCCATCCAGAACTACTCTACTTGGTCTGATCAGCTTCAATTACACCTCATCTTCCATATTAGTCCCTGAAGTGTCAGCACCTTACTACTCTGAGATGTTTGCCAGAGAAACATCTACATACAATATCCAGTACTTTAGGGGTTGAGAGCATGCATTCTGGGGACAGGTTGCCTGAGCTTGAAGCCCAGCTCTCACTTGAGCGTGTTATTTAGCATCTCTGTGCTTTAGTTTCAACATCTGTGAAATGAGTCAATAACAGTACCTACCTGTCAGTTGTGATGTGGGTTGAATAAAGGGACACACATTCTGTACCCAGCACAGTATTTCGCACACAGGAAGTATGTGGAAAATTCAAACTGCTATCACAGTTTTGTACCCAAGAAGACATGGTGTTCTTCACAGCAGCCCTATGAGGCAAGTGTTTTTTAGAGGTAAGTATATAGATAGAAGAACCACACTAGGTGAGGTGCCTTTGGGACTACATAGCAAGGAAACAGCTTAGTTAGGCACCAGTGGCACATGTGATCAGGAGAATCATGGTTTGAAGCCAGCCTGGGCAAACACTTCAAGAGACCCTATCTTGAAAAACCCTTCACAAAAAAGGGCTAGTGGAGTGGCACAAGGTATAGGCCCTCCTGAGTTCAAGCCCCAGTACTGCAAAAAAAAAAAAAAAAAAAAAAAAAAAAGGAAATAGCCTGCTTCAGGCTCATTCTCAAAAAGTAAATATTTTTGGTGCTTAGAAACCTGGTGTTGAGTCTCAGTTCTTGGCTTATTAGTCATAAGACCTTAAGGAATTCATTCTTTTCTCCATTTCTCCAAGCTTCTCCTAACTTGTTTGTAGAAGAGTTTGGGGGTAGCAGTGAATAAAGCAGTCACTGTGGCAGTGGAATGGGATGGGTTAAGAGTACAGGCACTGGGGTCTCAAGAGCAGGTGTAAGATCCCATCCTACCATGTCCTTTCTTGAACAAGCCTTTTTTAAGCCTTCCTTTTCTCCATTCATAAAATGAGAAAAAAAACAGCAGTGCTATCATCAGCATCCTCAAAAAGTAAGCATAATAATGTCCCTAAAGCACTTTGCCAGTGCATGACACCAGCACTTCACAAGAGAAGTTGTTGCTGTTATTATCAGTTTTTTAAATCATGGGTGTTAACAATCTTAGGAAAGGTTAAAGAACGCAAATGGGGAGCCCCTCCAGAGCAGCAAGTCCTTCTCAGTTCCTGTTCTACAGTCCGCTGTATAGTAGTACTCAGAAAACAGTTGGAGAGAGGCAGAACACAGGCCTTGCACCATTTCCTTTGCCGGTACGACTGTCCACTGACTCCTGGAGAACAGTGTGAGGAGGGAGGGAATACTTAGGAAAAACATCTGATGGGGTAGAGGGCTCACACACTTGCCTGACAACAGGAAGGGCCTCAAGATTCCTGATCCTTGTTCTCTTCTCTTGTACCCCCACAGGACCAGGGGTAGAGGCCCACCTCAGGAAGCTGGGCCTGGGGTACCGGGCTCGCTATGTGTGTGCCAGTGCCCAAGCCATCCTGGAAGAACATGGTGGACTGGCCTGGCTGCAGCAACTTCAAGAGGCTCCCTACGAGGAGGCCCACAAGGCCCTCTGTGGCCTGCCTGGGGTGGGCACCAAGGTGAGGCTCCAGGGAAACAGGAGCTGCCCCCTCCACCCACAGTGAAAGTAGAAGAGTTGGAAACAAGGCAGGCCTGAGAGCTGTAGGGAGGCCTGGTTTCTGAAGGTGGAATAGGAAGGAAAAAAGATATAAGCAGATGTTTTACTAGAGAAAAAAGCAGAATACAGAAAGAGTATAAAAGACATTTCTCTGAGTAATTTTTAGGAAGGCCATTTGTGTGGGTACATTGATACACTGCTGTATTTATGCAGAAATGTCCAAATGGAATGGTAGGAAAGTTAGTACTGGTTATCTTTGGAAAGACAGGTGGGAAGAATGTTTCTACTTTTCATTTTTTCTTTTCTTGAAATTGCATATACTTACAGAATTTTTTTATGTCAATAGGGTTAACCAGCAGTAAGATAATTAAGAATTTGGAACTTGTCTTTTTCTTCTTTATACTTCTCTGTAGTTTAAAAAATAATTTTCATTTAAAGAATTTTTTTAAATGCACCATGCATTCTGATCTAATATTAAGTCTTGGTACTGGCTATTCCCAGCTGTGTGACTTTGGCCAAGGCACTTTGCCTTTCAGAGCCTTAGTTTTCTTGTGTGTAAAATGGGTATGGTAATACCTTCTCAGTAGCAGCTCTTCTTAGAGCTATTTTTAGGAGCTGTAATTGATGATGTATATTGACTGAGAATGCAGAACAATAGTAACCTCAGAGTAGAGGAGGAAGCAGCTGGCTCTGGGGATAGATGCAGGATGCTAGCTGAATCCTGCCATTCCCTCACAGTGACTCACTCTTTGTCTGTCAAAGGTGGCTGACTGCATCTGCCTAATGGCCCTGGACAAACCCCAAGCTGTGCCCGTGGATGTTCATGTGTGGCAGATAGCGCAACGTGACTACAGCTGGCACCCCACCGTGTCCCAGGCCAAGGGCCCGAGCCCCCAGGCCAACAAGGAACTGGGTGAGGAGAGTGGGATGCTGGAGCATTGTGTTGAGATGGTGGAAACTTAACCGTTGTCTTAGTCACCTCTCCCTCAAACTCCCACCTGCGTGAATGGGGGCAGGTGGGGCCAATTAACATGACCTCCTCGCTTCTGATTTAGGAAACTTTTTCCGGAGCCTTTGGGGACCTTACGCTGGCTGGGCCCAAGCAGTGAGTGTACCTAGGTTTCTCCTCCTCTCTAGCCCAGACCCCAGAGGCCTTCCTCCTCATCCCTGACCTCCCACAACCACCACTGCCCCAGGGGACCCTGAAGGGCTCTCCAGTCACTGCAGTCCTGACCCCATGGACTCTTCCACCTCCTTACTCTTGACTCCAGTGTACCCTCCTTCTGCCTCCTCCCACAGGTGGTGTTCAGTGCTGATCTGCACAAGCCCCACTGTGTCCAGGAGCCACCAGCAAAGCGCAGAAAAGTGTCCAAAGGGCCAAAAGGCTAGACACTGGGGCATGGGACAAAGTAATTCCTCAACACCTTTTCCTCCGTCTCCCTGTTCTCTCCCCCATCACCACCTAGTCTCCTGTCAGGGATTCCTGCAACTACCTCAGGGGAGCAGGGGCTATTAGAGGAGACAAAGCTGTTTATGGTTTTATCTTCTTCCCTTTATTACAAGAAGGAACAATAAAATAGAAACATTTGTATGGAAAATGCAGTGAGGAATGAGAGGGAAGGGGGTGAGCAGGGAATGGGGCAGGATAACTCCCCAGTTCAGGAAGGGAAGGGGAGCAGGCTGCCCCCCACCCCTCCCATGGAAGAACCTCTGATGCTAGGTCCAGGCCCTAGAGCTGGGGTGGCAGTGTTGGGGCCAGTTCTTGACCTGCCTCCCTGCAGCAGTCTCGACAACAGCAGCCAGTTGCTGGTCCTGTATGGAGTAAAGGACAGAGCTGGTGTGACGCAGACCCTTCACTCAAGCCTAGAGCCTCCTCATGGACCACCCATGCCCTTTCATACAACCCTAGTCCTCACCCCCAGCTGTGGGTGTCAGCATCTCCCCGTGGCTTGCCGTCTGTCCCTGCCCCTCCTGACTGGTGCCCAGCTGCAACTTCCTCATGTGCCGTACTACAGCCGTGGCATTGAAGGCTTGCTGCAGAGAGAAGGGAGAGGGGACTTCTAAGAAGGTGGGAGCTCAAGGGCCAGGGTTGGCAGTAGGATTCGTGTGGTGGGTCTGTTATTGCTATGCAGGTATTATTTAGTGATTCCCCTAAGACCCCCAATCTCTACAAGTCTCTATTACACATTTATATATGTACACAAAAATATATATATATATATATATATATACACACACACACACATATATATATATACACACATACAGACACATAACTGTATTTTATATTCATATAGCAAACTATATAGCATTGTGTCAGGCACTATTCTAAGCACTTTGTGTGGTAATTCATTTAACCCTTACAAACCTTGAGCTAAGTTTTATTAGTCTCTCTAATTTCAAAAGAGGAAATTGAGGCACAGAATGGTTAAATAATTTACCTGCACCTGTAATGTGTGTGCACATCATTTTCTATTCAACTTATTCCCTAGATGTCATGCAAACCCCTCAAATTCACTGTGCCCAAAATTAAAACCACCCTGCAAGATATGTGTTTGCCTCTGGGAATACCACCACAGTGGGAGGTATCATTTCCTTTCTGTCCCCAACCAGAAGGTTGGGCCAGCCTTCAACATTTCCTTACTCCCTCATCATCTCAGCATGCATTCCATCTTCCATCTTCACTTACTGTGATTTTACCTCCTACAGACTCCTGTTCTCAAACAGTCTTCTCTATTCCTATTGCCTCACCATCTCTTGCCAGCTTCTCTACTATAGACGTCTGGGCTTCCCAGTCTTCACTTCTGGGTGTCCTGAGAGTCCTTTGTACAGGACACATTCCTGTTTATGATCTTCTTGGGTCTTCTTAGCCCCCTCAGTGTCAGGTCGGTGGTCCACTGTGGCACACAAGGCCCAGAGTGGCCTAGCCCTTTCTAGCTTCTCCAGCCTGGGTTCTTACCATTTAGTTCCCTCAGACCCTCCAGTCCAGCCAGGCTGCTCACTTGCCCTTTCCAGAGTGGCCACACTCTCTTGTGCCCTAGAACCTTTGCACACCTGTTCCCTCTACCTCAGACATATCACTTGTATCTGGTTAATTCCTACTCAAGTGATGGTTTTGTCAGCCATCACAATGTTTATGGCCCTTCCTGCGCCCCACAGGTTGGGCTCCTGGAGAATTATAGAGTGGACTCCCTATAGACTTGGAGGTCAGGGACTCTTTGGAGTTCAGTAGGTGTCTGGGAGCATTTGAATAACTGAGGTCCTTCAGAAAGCATCCCTGCGCTTTTAGAAGTTACTGCAGGCCAGACTTGGTGCTGTACAAACCTAGCCTAGATCGGGGTGAGGAAGAGTCCTGGGGAGGCTGGACTCTAAGATTAGAGATGTGGGCTCACCTTCCACTTGCTCTTGGCAAAATTCTTCTTGATTTGCTCGCTCACTGACTGGTGGATATTCTTATCAAGAGCCGTATCTCCTGCAATCCTAGGATGAGGGTGTGTGGAGGGTTGCTTGTGAGGGCAGAGGCAAGTCTGGGAACCCAGATCCCACCCCAGTTCTCATTTTGCGGGGCTCTCACCATGGGTGCTGCAAGGCCTGCTCACAGGTAAACCTCTTCTCTGGATCCTTCTCCATCAAGTGCCGGATAAAATCTTTTGCTAAACCCGCAAGACAAAAGCAAAGAATAAGCAGCATGGTAGTGCCTGTGGACACCCCAAGACGGTACTCGCTCAGTCTGGACTGGCAGCAAAGCAAGGCAAAGGGGCCAGGCATGTCTGTGCACCACCCCATCCCACCTAGGTTCTTTTAAGCCTCCAATCCTCAACCCCAGACTTCCAACTCTTTTCCTTTCTCTCCTAAAAATATATTTCGAGAAGAATCTTCTCAGCATATACACACCGATATATACACAACTGATAATGCCTTCACAGGATTGCTGCTTAACAAGGGGCACAAAAGAAGAGATTAAAATGTTTATGGCAGTGTCTTAAGCATTAGGAAGTCAGTAGGGAAAAGGCATTTTCAAAAATACAGTGTTTGAAGACTGAATGAATGAATGAGTGAATACCTACAAGTCTCAGACTAGGCCAAACAGAGGGAAGCCCAAGGTGGGGTGTCTCATCTCAGCTCCTATTCTGGGACTGGGGATTCTGATGGAAGGGAGGCAGTGGGGACCACCCCCCCAGAGCAGAAGAGGAGATCTCCAGAGGCAGTGCCCTGGGGAAAGCAAGCCCCAAAATACCAGAGTCAGAGATGTCATCCCAGTAAGGAGAGTCAAACTCGTACTCAGCCTTTAGAATCTGTTCAAAGAGTCTGGCATCATTCTCGTCATAGAAGGGGGGGTAGCCGCAGAGCCTGGGCAGGGAGAGACAACCTTGTTTCCACTTTCAGTGCACTCATTGCCTCTGTGGTGAAGCTTTGGGGCAGTCCTAGGAGTCAGGTAGGACCCATAGGAAGGAGTTTCCCTTTGTAAAATCTGCCCCTCCCTGCCTTGTTCACTCCAGTAGCAACACTGGCCTTCTCCCTATGCCATCACCTTACTGTCCTCAGGGCCTTTGCACTTGTTATTCTCGCTATCAAAACCCTTTTTTCCTCTCTCTTGTCTTCATTCAAAATGCTACTCAAGGTTGGAGGAGTGGCTCAAGTGGTAGAGTGCCTGCCTAGCAAGCATGGGTCCTGAGTGAAAAACCCCAGTTCTGCCAAAATAAGAAAGAAAGCACTGAGAATAAAATATTCTGCAAAATGTTATTTAAGCTGGGTGCCAGTTGCTCACACCTGTAATCCTAGCTATTTGGGAAACTGAGGTCAGAAAGGTTCAAGGCCACCCCGCACAAATAGTTCTCGAGACCCCATCTCCAAAATAAGCAGAGCAAAATGGACTGGAGGGGTGTCTCAAGCAGCAGAGTGTCTGCTTTGCAAGTGTGAAGCACTGAGTTCAAACCTCAGTCCCATCAAAAAAAAGTTACTCAAATGTCACTTCCACAGAGAGCCTGTCCCTGACCTTATCCAAATGGCATCCTCCGTACTCCTGACTTACTTTTCTTCACAGCATTTTTTTTTTTTTTACTGTTTTTCATTTGCAAGTATATATGGTTATGGGGTTTGAACTCAGGACCTTGTGCTTGCTAGGTAGGCACTCTATCACTTGAGCCATGCCCCCAATATATAGATTTATTTACTTGTCAATTCTTTGTCTCCTCTACTACAATGTCAACTCCTTGAGGATAGGCACTTGGTCTGATTTGTTCTCTACTAAATCCTCATTGCTTGGCACAGTGCCTCAAACAGTACCTATTGAATGAAGTGATATTAGTAATTAATGGGTGGATACAGCCATGGGATGAAGGAGAAAATAGCAGAGGGAGGAAGAGAGGACAACTCTGGTGTCACACCCCACCATGGTCACTCTCCCACTTACAGAATGTAGGCGATGACTCCAATGGACCAGCAGTCCACAGCCTTGCTGTAGGGCTTCTGAGCTAGGACCTCAGGGGCTGTGAAGGAAAGGGGACATGGTGGTGACAAACTTTTGCCCTGAGGCTCTTGGTTCCACCCACAGCCCCAAGCCCAGGGCCTTCCGCACCCACGTATCCCGGGGTCCCACAGGCTGTGGAGAGGACACTGCCTGGGTCCTCCATCTTGGAGAGGCCAAAGTCCGAGATCATGATCTTGGAGTCTTCATCCAGGCTGTAGTACAGCAAATTTTCTGGCTTGGTGGGCAGGAAGGAGGGGAAGGGGTAGTCAGAGATGGCCAGAGGCTGGCAGAACCTTTTCCCTCCCCAAGCATGACTTAAGAAATAATGTAACCCCCAAAAGCTATTGTGGCTGCCACATGGCCATCAGCTTAACTGGAGACTTAAAATAATCAAGGAAGTTCTCAAGAAGGCCAAAAGTTCCAGAAAGGAAAGGGACCCAAGG